AGAGTTTGTTGAATCTGACGTGACATGTTCGTACGAACCCTTTGTACGAACAAAAGTAAGAGAAATTTAGGAGAAGAATACGAACATGTTCTTGCATGAGGCCCATTGCTTCTTGGGCAATAAATCTTATCCTGTTGGAAAGCCTGTTAATTTCRTTTTAAAACGGTGCCACATTTGTAAGGAACATGCACTTGTGGGATAAGTAGTAGAGCTGAGTATATGGGTTGCACACATGAAAAAATTGTTAAACAAACAAACTCCTTTATGGGTGAATCCTTCTCTTTCTGCATGGAGGATCAGAGTGAAGCAGGAATCAGCTGAATGTGTGCATTTATGACTAAAATATATTATTTTATGCCTCCATTTATCAATTTGTTGGAGTCATGGTAATGTGCGTTTAAAAAATATCTGGGGAAAAAAGGTAGTTAAAAAGTTACCCAAAAAAAATAGTCAACCCCGATAAGGGTCACAACCCCGTCATTGAAGATGTCTTGTGTAATAAGACAAGGGAATTGTTGAGAATTACTCTTAGCTATCACCATAGCAAATTTTAGATCAATATCTGTAAAATCTGCTGAGAACAGAAGAATGGACATTTTTCTTTTTTTCTGTGGCAGCCATATTGATCTGGGTTGATTCTAAAAGTAACTCAGTAGTTTACGTGCATCCAGTAATTAATTTCTGAAAGTTTTATTATACAGTAACCCATAATGAGATTCGTTTAAAACACAGTTGACTTCAGTAATTAATGGCAAACCTAAAAAAAATGATCTAACACAATGTGTTAGCTCTAGGCGTATGTGTCAGGAAAGACCGACTCTCTGATCTACCACATCTATAAAATTGACAGTTAGTCATTTTAATCAGTTTTTGATGTATGGCTGATGATTCCATTAATAAAATTGAGAAATTGCTGACAAAACTATTAGTTTGACATGTCTTTGTTAAAGGGTTAGTTATGTAGAACTGTTRGATGAAAGTAGTGACCTTTAACCCTGTGACCTTGAAATCAATACTAATGATCTTRGACACACGAGGTGTCCAGTTTGAATTTTGACATTTCTATGATAAATGGTTGTCAAATTAAAGTTTTTTAAAGAAAGGGATGACCCTTGACCTTAAAGTCAATAAAAATTGTTGCTGCTCCACGAGTTCTCTACCTGTGAAGTTTAACATTCCTACATTACACGGTCACAAAGCTGAAGTTCGGACAAAAAGTGCCTGCCGACTGACAGATGGCGGTAGCTTTGGCAGCCATCTTGAATGGTGTTCAGTACGTTTGGATCATTCTCGGTTGTGACATACCAAACTTTAGTTCAATATCTTTTGGATTGGCTGAATTGATAGTGAAAGAAATTAAAAGGGGAACAAATTAGCTGAAATTAGCAAAAATGTTGCTGAAATGCACTAAAAACTGAAATTACTAGACAGAATCTAAATGTTGCAGAAACAAGCTGAAATGAGCAGTAAGAAGCTGAAGGAGCATGTTTGCTTAAATAAGCAAAAACACCCAATGACAACCAAAAAGGTGCTGAAAAAATATCAGATTAGCAGAAAACAGCTAACTAGTTGAAAACAGTGTGATACCACACCAAAATTTAACTCAATATCTTACAAATGAACTGACCAATTTGAAGGTGAAAGAAACTAAAATGAACACCAAATATGAAGATAAAAAAAAAGCTGAAATGCACAAAAACCAAACCGGTAGCAGTGTATGGCAGCCTTGCCTCATCCAGTCTGCCCCAGGACAGCTGTGGCTACAGTGTAGCTCAACATCATTAGTCTGTGAATGTCTAGAGTGAAGCACCTCAGAGTTCTTACTTGAAAAAGTGCTATAGGTTCAGGCCGTTCACCAGAAATGTACTGGAAAAAGCTGAAATTAGCAAGAAGGTGAAGGAGCGTGTTTGCTAAATGTAACAGAAGGAAGCTGAAATGACACCCTAAAAGATGAAATCAGCTGAAAAAAATAATCAGATTAGCAGAAAACAGCTAATAGTATCTGAAACAGTTTGATACCATAAACACGTCCGTTTATAAATAAAATCAACAAAATAGTTTTCGATGATAAAGTAAATCCATCCACTAGCTTAACCTGCTTCTTCCTTTCCGAGTCACAGCTGTCAGTAAAATTTTCATTTTCAGCTACATTTCTGCTCCAATCAACACTATTCTATGTATTTCCGCTTCCCACTTTTATTTTGATGCTTTAAGCAAATTTTAGTTGTTCTAATTAATTAACTCACATTGACAGTTCAGAATTGAATATATTTCAGCTTGTCTTCAGCTGTCAAGATACTTTGCTAACAAATACAGACACAAGGTGATGACGAACAGACTGAAAATGAGGAGCTAAAATCTAAACCAAAACATTATGACTATTATAAAATAAAAGCTGATGTGGCACCAACTTACAGAAGTGAGCGTAAGGTACAGCACACAATGAGGGATGTGCAGTGCAGCAGGACTGAGGAGCAAACTGGAATAAAATACACAGGTGGCATAGAGAAACTGCAGTGAACCAATGAAACAAACTCCAACAGAAAATACAAAACGTCATGAAAGAAAGATTGAGACACATAATGGGCAAATTGCTCATTGCGTTTTTATTTTTCTTTTATTGCAGCTTTACAGSTTCAGAAGCAAAATGTTTTCTTAACTTTTAATGTGTTTAGTTTAGGGTTTTTTTTTAGCCATCCTGTTGATCTTTTACAAAAGTAAAATGAAAATTTTACTGACAAAGCTAGTGGATGGATGGATTTACTTTTGGACAAAAGTAACTCTAACAAACAGAGGCGTCAGCATCTAAGTAATTATATATTTCCTGTARGTCTAAATAAAAACTCCATTTTAAACTTGTTTCCTGATTCAGAGGTTATAAGTGGAGAACTGCTTACCTTAAATACCCCTTAAGTCCTAAAGCGAAAGAAGTTAATTTTAAAATTCTCAGTATTTTTCCATCCAGGGAACTATTACGACAAAGATTCAACTTTGACAGTAACAGCTGTACATTTTGTGACAACGATATTGAAACAACAGACCATCTCTTTTTCTATTGTACGCACACTGGAATATTTTGGGAAAACTTTCCGGACTGGATCTCAACAAAACWTTTCCTTCCTTAACGCTTAAAAAGAGATATAAATTTTAGATTCACCCTAAGAGACAGAAGAAGTGACCTCATTCTTAACAACCTGRTGATCCTTGCCAATTTCTTCATCCATTCCTGTAAAAGGGYAAATAGAAAACCTGACTTTTCAGCCTTTAAACGCCTTCTAATGAATAACAACCTGAGAGCCTTAAAACTGATTAAAAACATGGCCTTTGACGCCTGTATAGATCTGAACTTATTTGATGAGAATTAGTGCCCCTGTGTTTTGTGTATGTATTTTATATTTAAAATTTATTTTATTTTTTGTCCCTTGTTTAATGTCTAACACATTTTATTTTCTTTCATTTTTATATGTTTGTGTGCCACAAATATGTGCAACATGACGTCTTGTTTAAACATGCCACAGGATTCTGTACATTTGTTGAAAATGCTTAATAAAAAAAAGGGAGGGGGCACGCATGGAAGTCATATGCCGATATTTTAATAGTGACGCAACATCAATGTCAGTTTCACGAACTTGTGGCGACACATCCTGTTTTGGTAACCGGATATTTCAAAATAAAAGTCTGATTTAATTCAGTTCATATACAAAACAATCTTTTGCATGGGAACGCAAAACAATTTTGCGAGGTAACACAAAAGTATTGCGTGGGAACGCAAAAGAAAAAAAATGTCCCCTCGCGGGCTCCCGTAAGTGCATGATTCTAAGATATTAAGTCAGTGATAAAATGACTAAATTCGTTAGTTCATTATTTGCCTCTAGTGATGAGTCAAAGAGTATCTGTGCCTAACAACATTATAACATCTCAGWGTTTGTTATAAAGCTACGTCTGCGCATTTTAAAGCCCAATGCTGCTACCTGACCCTGTTAGCTTAGCATGTAGCACACGGAGACATATCAGTGCTGCTCCTGCGAGCTCACAGCGCAATCTTTGAGCTCGCGACACAACAAACCAGACCGCTCCACACCACAACGAGTAGGTCCATGTAGCGTCACTGTCTTAAAAAGTTTTCCGTTTCTGTACAATTAAAAGCAGATATTTTTCAGCTTCTCTCCTCGGGTCTGTTTAGGACACCTGCGTGGGTTAAAATGACAACGGTGAAGCCACGAAGCGTGCTCCGAGAAGCTTCTCATCAGATCATTGCCGGTGGATCCGCTGGTAAGTTTATATTCCACTTCCACCATTTGTAGGCTTGTTAAATTACGCAACAGCGGACGTAGCTGCAGGCGGTAACCARTTAAAAACCGTAGTGGGGGGTAATTTCACGTAATACCCTGTGCAAATAGTTAAGTCAACGTGAACATGTTTATAGTTTCACTTGCACATGCGCGTAACCTCCCCGTTAAGATAGATCCCACCGAGCTGTGCGGAAAGACACATGCGTTAACGTGTAACGTGCACTTTTTGTTTGGGAGGTTTACACCATGTTACGAATCGTGTTAAATGTGTTGACAAATGTATAGTTATTTCTGTTGGCTACAATCCACGAATAGTTGGCAGATTTATATTGTTAAACAGTAAAATGCACGGTCCCTGTGAGACAGTGACCAACTAGGAAGTGACGAGGAGGGAGTCCTCTTGATTCTGAGGGTTCTCRTCACGCTGTCAGCATCCAGTTAATAATGACTAACTTGACATGTTGATAGTTTGACCTGAGGRAAAGTAAAGCAGTAATGAGAAACAGGGAGACATTAACTTCTGAGTTAGCAGCTATTGAATGATTCCCTTGGATGAGGACGTTTGGCAGAAATCACAAGAATTGTTGGTGTTTTGTAAAATGGTTATACTCTCAGTCAGTAGGCTTTATTGCAGAAATGTGCTGCGAGGGTTGCGTTTGATTTAGCCAGATGCCCRTAATAATCAAAGACTTAGCATTATTTTTATTCTTTGGCACACCCACTGATTTAAAGCACTGGTTAGTGTCTATAAAATGATCTAGCTAGATTAGCTTTTAAAGAGAGTAGAGTGCCGTGTGAATTGGTAAACGAGGGCCCCAGATGAGGGCACATATTGTAGTGTAAAGTGCTTTGAGTATTCTGGCTGGATAGAAAGGTGCAGTGTAAGTACTGTCCATTTACCACTCTAACATGAAAGAATGCATTTCACCATCTGCCTTTCATGCTAGCGTGTTAGAAAAAGTATCATCATCGGTGTTTTCTGTCTTGACTGCCATGCCGTCACAGTGTGCTATGTTAGAAAGTGGCAGCAGCGCATATTTTGGAAATGGTGGCACAGGCATGCCTTGTGAATTTCAAAATAAAGGTGTATCTTAACGATGACAATGGGGATTGATGTTATCGTTTTGCTTAGATGTAATTGGATCAATCCTTTAATTAATGTATCGATGTGGATCTATGTATTATTACACCCCTGACATGTAGAGAAAAATTGTGGACATGTGGTAAATTACAGTTTGCATTGCATAATCATCTCTACAGTCACAAAGGTGTAAAATATCTTTGGTTTGAGCGATTACAGATGGGTCTTTGTGTTTGAGTCATCTGTATGCCAGAATAAATTAAAATCCCACCGCAGTGGTTGTTTCTGTGGATTTAATGTGATGCAAGAGGGTGTGGAGAAGAACTGTGCTCATTTATTCAAAATCTTTCTTTGTCAAAATGTTTTGTACTCTTTAAAGTGGAGGCACTCTGTTTTAACAGTTTGAAACTGCTTCTYCTTTATCATATCTTTCATTTCATTTTCACCCATTGCAAAAACAGTAATGTTTTTACCCACGTCTGGGTTTGTGTGCAGCTGTGTGTTTGTTTGTGCTGTTAGCAAAATATCTGTAAGGGGACATATGCAGAATCCACTTTTTTAGCTGTTAAATACATTTTGTTGTGTACTTACAGTCTTTATYAGTGCAGAAAAGTAAAATTCAGTCTGGTGATGCATAGATATGTTGTTCAGTTTTCTCCGTTTTCTATGATGTTTTCTGAACTATTATGCCAAATTATCTGCGATGGAATTGCCAAATAAGGTCTAGACTTACCGACTACAGTTTCCTCCTCTTAATTCTGAATATTCTTAAAACTGGTAAAGAGGCTCAGACTAAAAGTAGGCTTTTATTTTAGAAAGAAGTTGTGCT